AACATTAAAACTCTTACCGTAAGAGGTCAGAGTTTGAGCGAGGTTATGATTAGTCGAGTAATACGTTTTCACAAGAAATACGCGTTCCGTTAAATCGTACATTTTGACACTATAAACAAACTTCACCGACTTAACCAGTAGCCGCATATTTTCGTCCCGAGTTGGGGAATTTAGTGTTACCATCGATGGAGCAAAAAAAACATTTTTATAGGAGTTTTTTATGTTTGTTGCGTAAGCGTTTAATCTGAAAGACCCTGTATTACAGATGTTTTCACATATACAACCGTAACACGTTTTTATGCGTGCTAAGAGAATGCTTCTGATTCATTATAGCGGGACGCGGAACGCACTTTAGAATTGCTAAAATATTAGGCCAAATAAAACTGGCGCTGATCAAGTTGTGCCATGAATTTTCTTCAATGCGCATTCCAGTGTATATAGAGTTCAGTGGAGAAGCCTGAGAACGGCCATGCCATTATAGTTTCTTACGACGGTTTCAACCTTAGACCATATGTACTTATAGACACGGCCTGTAGATATGAATCCACGAGTCGAGGTGAAGCAAAGATAATATCATCTACGTGACGTCACATGTGGGCATTTTAGCAATGGCTAAACGCGGCCTCGTAGATGATATTATCTTATCTTCAAGGCAGTTATTTGAAGCCGTCTATAAACGCGCCTTTGCTTTGCCCACATGTGACGTCATGTAGATGATATTATCTTTGCTTCAAGATAGTTGTCTGAAGCCGTGTCTATAAGTATATATGGTCTAAGGTTTCAACCGTTGGTTTTAGCCGTATTTCCACAAAAATGGAACTCAAAGGCCGTTCTACGTTAAACGCAAGTGGCAGAGTTCGTGGAATTGACCTATTGCAGAGTCAAATCAGCCAATCGACCAACGTGATTGATCAGTTCTACGAGACCTGTGTCTTGAGTTTCGTGGAGAACGGCCTTTGAGTTCCACTTTTGTGGAAATACGGCCAAAACCAGCGGCTGAAACCGTCGTAAAAAACTACAATGGCATGGCCGCTCTCAGGCTTCTTTCTGATAGTATACTCAGCCGTGGCTAGTCGCGTATCTTNGCAATGAGAGGCACGAGGCCCGAGAAAGGGAGACGCACGAAGTCCAAATATGGGCATAGATGGTCGAGCGTCATTATGCGCAGGCGCGTCTACAAATTGAGTGCGAGCGAGGCAAAGCATTGGAAAGTGAGAGAAAGAACGCGAGAAAGAGAAATGCGCAAGCGTGCTTGAATGTTCACCGCATGCGCACAAAGCAGCTGGAGAGAGAGGCTACTATATTGTCCGCACCGTAACATTGAGCTTCAGGTCGGCACCGTACTAGCCAGGGTTGAGTATACTTTATGACCACAAACTACCAAAGTACAAGATAAACTATTCACATTCAAATTTAATGTTGGAGATTCGAGATTTGAGAGCTGAAATTTGAGATTGGAGACGAGATCTAAGATTTGAGAAGTGACTATGAATTCGGGCCTTACTATCTTCACAACGTCAATATTTTTAATATTTTAATGTTTAAATATATTTTGTTTTGTTTTTATTTAGTAACACTTTATGTTTTTTCATTAGTATTTTTATTTATCAAAATAAAACGCACCATAAAAATCCACAATCTCTCACCACGCATATAAGGTAAATGTCCTAATGGCCGGACGCTTAAGAAGTTAGTATAATTGACGAAAACATTTTTTTATAACTTCAGACTTATATNCCTTATATTTATATAAAAATTAAACGGCAGAATGTAAGTTTTCATAAAAAAGAATAAAAAGCAAGTTTATAATGGACAAAAATGTAAAACTATTTGAAATATGTATTATGTATTATGGCCCAGTGTTTGGACACGAATTTTCGCATGGCCCAGTGTTCGAATTTTCATGTCCCAGTGGCCGGTCATAATGCATGTGCTCAAAATTTTGCTTTACTAAAAGTATTAAATCAATAAAGATTGACGTTTTATAAAATTAAAGGCAAATAAAATTAATTTTTAGTTACATTTTAAGATATTTTTTATGGATTGTGACTAAAATTTTATCAAGGTAAAAAAATTACAATTTTTTT